AGATAATGAAACCCTCCCCCTGGCACCTGGGCTGAAGGTCAGGCTGACAGCACTCCTGCCTTTTGGCAAAGCATGTTTCCAGGACTTTGCCAATGCCACTGGCTTCAGCTGCCAATAATTAAAGACATGCCCAAGTGCCTTCCCAGGCGCTCTCTACAGGTAATGGGCTGTCAGATGGCACCAAAGAAGTCCCCAAAGGTGAGGGGCTTGGAGGACCCTCCTCTGTAGTCTCCCCCACCCACTCTCCCCTCCTCCCCTCCACAGGGACGACTCCGCCGAGGTGGATGTGTATAACCCCACGAAGAACGAATGGGACAAGATCCCATCTATGAATCAGGTAAGTCTGCCTGCAGAGGAAGCACAGGCCGCCCTGAGTCACAGAGCGTACTGGGGAAGAGTGTCCCCCAGAGACCACACGTGCAAAGGCCCTGGGGCAGGGTGAGCCTGGTTCCTAGAACAAGGTCTCAGTTCAGTGTGGCTGGTGCCAGTGAGCAAGCTGACAACGGGGGACAAGGTCAGACAGGAGGTCTTTGGGGGCTGACCTTGGTAATGTACTTACTGAGCGCCTGCTGTGTGCTCTGAGCAGGGCACCCACACGGTGCTGGTGCTGTTGCCTGATCGGGTCTCCCCTTCTCTCTGCACATTGAGGAGTGAGGTGCCGAGCCGGATAGTGTCATGGAGCCAAGAGGCAGCGGCAGCATTTGGCCACTCGGGCAAATTTCCTTAGTCCCAGACCCACCTACCCACCTGCATCTTTTCTGTCTTCCTTAACATCTCCACACCTGCTCTCAGGTACCTCTGAGTGGCGCATGCCGCAGTTTACAACATCACAGCTTGACATCTTTATCCTTAAGAAATTAACTTTATGTTTTTCCCCAAAGTGAGCTACACATACTCATAGCAAACATGAGGAAGATCCCTAACTGGTTTGGCTCAGTGGATAGAGCGTCGGCCTGCGGACTGAAGGGTCCCAGGTTCGATTCCGGTCAAGGGCATGTACCTTGGTTGCAGGCACACCCCAGTAGGGAGTGTGCAGGAGGCAGCTGATCGATGTTTCTCTCTCATCGATGTTTTTAACTCTCTATCTCTCTCCCTTCCTCTCTGTAAAAAAAAAAAAAAAAATCAATAAAATATATTTTAAAAAAAACAAACAAAAAAAAAACACGAAGATGATGGCCCAGCGTGTGGCTCAGAGCTTAGTCCCGGGTCGTCCCAGAGGCTCAGTTCCCCGTCTGGAAGGTGGGAAGGCCGGTGCTGCTCCCAGGGAGACTCAGCCTCTGCAGCCCCCTGACCACCGCAGGGCTGGGCATGGAGCCCCTTTTCCGAGGTGGGGTGCAGGGAGGGTGCTGGCCGTCCTGGCTCCCAGCGTCACTTCCTGAAGTGTCGCGGCCGCCCCTCCTGAGGGTCCCAGGCGCCTTCTCCATGGAGAGGGACTGCGGGGGCTCTTGCCAGGCCCTGGCTACTGGCCGCCACTCACCTGTCGCCCTTGACCCACAGGTGCATGTGGGAGGCAGCCTGGCCGTCCTCGGAGGGAAGCTGTACGTCTCGGGCGGGTATGACAACACGTTTGAACTCTCGGATGTGGTGGAAGCCTATGACCCTGAGACTCGGGCCTGGAGCGTGGTGGGGCGGCTCCCGGAGCCCACCTTCTGGCACGGCAGCGTCAGCATCTTCCGCCAGTTCATGCCCCAGACGCCCTTGGGTGGACGTGGCTTTGAGCTAGACAGTAGCACCAGCGACATGGACGTGGGCCAGCCCCGGCGGCCACCGGAGCACCCCCAGGAGCTGCACTAGCCCCGGCCTGGCCCAGGGAGGGCCTCGATGCAGTAACCCAGCACCTCGGGGGCGGCGACCCCCTCCTTCGTGCCTGAGGACAGGTGGGGCTCACCAGGCGGAACCCGGCTCTTGGGCTGCCGAGCAAGCCTCAGGGTCCGACACTGGGACCCTCTGCATCTAGACCCAAGTCACAGCTGCGGCGCCAGTTGTGAACGGCCCTCCCTGGGCCCAGGAAGAGCTGCCTCCTCACCAATGCGTGTCTGGCTCCCACAGGCCACCACCCCTGCGCCCCCGCCTCCCCACTGTCACCCCCTTGCACCCACCTCCGGGGGAGGAGAGCCTCTGGGACATGAGTGGAGGGGGTCAGAGTGGCTGAGGCTGTCTTCCCGCAGGCCGCACTGGGGATCAGGCGGGCGAGGGCTGCATCCCGGCGCGCCGTCTGCCCGGATGAAGGGGGTTATGCACAGAAACATCCCCACGGGGATGGGCCTCCAGCAGCTGAGCTCAGACCAGGGGCATAGGGCGATGGGACTGGTGTGGCCTGGGAGGAGCCTGGGCCTGCTGAGCGTGTCTCCATGCGCCTGGGCTGAGCCTGATGTTGGTGTCCCTGCCCACCCACCCCACCAGCTGGCGTGTCCTCCTCTGCCCTCCGCCCTGGCTCAGAGGCCTCTCCAAGTTCGACCCAATGCAAGAGGGTAGAAGCCTGCAGGTGCAAGGGCGGGCTCCTTCCGGGAGGCGCTGGGAGCTGGTCTTCGAAGCCCAGCCAGGCGGACAGTGCCCTCGCCTGTGGTCAGGAATCCTGCCTCGGAAGCAGCCCCAGGCAGTGTGGCTTCGTGGTTGCTTGCAAGGTTTGAAAGGCAGTTTGGCCTTAAGAGGCGGTGGGAGCCAGGGCTAGTGATTTGTGATCTGTCCACAGGCCTCTGCAGGGTGGGGGTGGGGGTGGGATCCAGGAGGTCGGAGCCCCAGGGCTCGGCATGTTTCTCTGGTAGAGAGAGCATTTTCGTGGATTGCGTGGGCTTGTCCCTCAGGCCCCCGGCGCAGCTTTGCTGGAGTTGGTCTCCTGTCCAGTGAGGAAGGTATTTACATTTTCTCATGCGATAGAGATGTTTGCTGAGCGGCTATTTCCGTATGTTCTCACCGGCAGAAAGGGTTAGCGTCACTTCACAAATGCCACTGCAGACCCTTTCGTTGGCCGGTGGCACCGGTTCTGGGAGGAAGCCTGTGGCCTCCAGGGCCGCTGGCTGGGCCCTGCTGTGTGTGGTCATCGCGGGGGGTTAGATCTTGTGTTCCAGACACCTGCTGGGCGGCCACAGCTCACAGCCAGCCCTTGCCGTCCCCATGGGTCGTCCCCACTGTGAGTCAGGCACCGTGGGAGGGCATGTAGGGGTCTGGGCATCAGAACAAGCCTTCAGACATATGCTCCCTGCCCTGGGGCCCCCCCCAGCACGGGGTTCAGGCTGGGAAGCCCCACCACTTGCAGATGAATGTACACTGACTTGGGGACCGGGGTGGGACTGTGGGGTGCACACCCTGGTATCAGTCTCCAAGACACATTTAAGTTATGGGAGCTCGGGGATGGCCTTGAATGCTGACCTGACTACTCTGTATTTATGACTCTTGTCACCCTCCCGTCGGCACCCAGGGCCAGCCCCAGAGGGCGGGTGGGTGTGCGTATTTATTGTCTGTTCTGGAGGCAAATGTCACGTGCAGAATGCTGCAGTTTTAGGGCGCCTTCAATACTTTTTGAAATAAAAATGTTTCCTATACACTTGGTGTCATTGCCTTCACTCTGTTGGCACCTTGGGAGGCCACACGTGTGAGGCGGTCCGGTGCTGGGCAAGGGGCAGAGTGAGCCACGCCAGGGCTCATGCTAAGGCCAGGGGCAAAGTTTTCCAGGTCGTTTCTCATCTTGAATGACTACAAGGTGTGAAGTGGAGGAGACACCATGAGGTGTGAGGACTCAGCTGGCGTGTGTCCAGGCCCCACCTGCTGCTGTGGACCTCCCTGCCTGCCTGTGGGCACCCGCCCTCACCCCTCCCCCAGTCCAGCCTGATCCTCTCTGCAGTGGGTGAACCTGGGCCTGGGGGGGGGGGCGGTGCCCAGGAAGGACTGATTCCTGGGCCCAGAAGCACTCAGCTCTGCTGAAACGCAGGCCCTTCTGAACCCAAGGAAAAGGCCGGTGCCTGCGCCGGGAAGGGGCGTTTTGAGGCCATAGTTTGCCTTTTTAACACTCCTGCTGTACAGCTGTGAGGCAGCTCATAATCTGGTGTCAGTCATTGCACTTGAACTCATTGCCTGAGCTCCCCAGTGGTCAAGGAGTGAAAGATGGTGAGGTGGGTTCCTCAAACCCCGGGACTTAGCATGCTGCGGGGCCGTTTCAGGAACCCTCCAGGAAGGGTCTTCTGGCGTGACTCAGGCTCACAGGGTCACGACCATCGCTACCACCTCCCAAACACCCCCCTAGGGGCAGCTGGAGGGAGGTGGAGGCGACACTTGACTTCCAGGGCTGGGACTAGAGGCTGCAGGTTTGGCCTGTCAGAGCTCTTGCTGGTGGCCGCCAGCTGCCAGGCTCAGAGTGAGCTGTCCTGAGAGCAGCCCCAGCCCAGGGAAGGTCTGGGGGGTTGCTATCTAGCAGTGATAGCAAAACGGGGGCTCGCTCCCTTAATCCCATCTATGAAGCGTGTACTGTTAGTAATTCCATAAAAGACGGAATGAAGCTGTAAGTAACTTGCCCCAGGGCAGTGCTAACAGGAGCAGGGGATCTCACACTCTCGGCTGGCCTTGTCTGCGCCCAGGCCTCCTGGACAACCTAACCCACCTCGGGCCCTTTCCTCTCAGTGGTGTGTGGCCAGCAGGGTCCAGAGCTTGCTTAGCCACGAGCCGGCCTCTTCAGGCCCATTATGCTCAGCTGCACTCTCCCTGGGCAGGAATCTTGAACCCGTGAGGCGGGGGGGCGGGGGGGCTGGCTGACCCCAGGGCTCAGGGAAGCATGTTCCTGTGGGATCTGCTCCCATGCTACAACCAGCTGAACGAGGGATGGGAGACGGGTGACTGCGTCCTGGGCCACAGGCTTGGCCCCAAAATTCCCCACCAGGGTGTCCTCTGCTGAGGTCTGACCAGGTGGGAAGGGCTGGGCTCAGGTGCAGAGGGTCCTCTAGGGGCTGGGAAAGCGCAGCCTGGCGGCACCTGGGGACAGGCTGCTGGACGGGCTGAAACGAGCGAGCGAGTGTGAAGCCATGTGGTTTATTGGGGGCGGGGCACGGGGCTGTGGTGGAGGCTACGAGTCACAGTCCTCGGGAATGGCAGCTGTGATGAGCAGCGAGGGCTCCATGACGCCCGGGAAGCTCTCCTCCGCGCACAGTCTCTGGGCAGGGAGCTGGGAGGCCAGGCCGCCCTGGGCCAGGGACTCCACGATGACCTCGGCCGAGCCCACCTCCATCTCGGCGGGCGGCTGGAGCGCTACCACCACCATCTTCTCGTCCTCGATGACCAGGTTCCGGAGCTTTCGCTGCCGCGGGTTGTAGTTCTTCACGCGGTCGTGGATCTCCATGTGCCTCCGCAGGTGGGCCTAGGAGTTGGGGGGCTCAGGGCTGGGCTGGGAGGCCCGAGGTGGGGAGGAGGAGGTGACCCCTGGCCTACCTGCCGGGTGAACTTGTAGCCACACTTGGTGCACTCGAACTTCCTCACGCCCTTGTGCCTCCGGACGTGCACACGCAGCTGCTCCACGGCTAACGAGGGAAGGGGCCCGCAGGAGAGGCATTAGCAGGGCGGGAAACGGGGAAGTGACGGGGTCCTGCCCTGAGCTGGGAGTCCTCTGGGTTTCCAACCGCTGCTTGGAGCCCTGCCACCTATAGTGCCTCCCGAGGTCACTACTGCACAGGACCCGGGAGCTGCCACCCCCTCCGCTTGAGGCGAGGATTAAATAAGAGAGCCCTGCTCCGTTAGCACTGCTGGATAGCAGCCCCCAGACCTTCCATGGGGACTGGGAGACCCGCCGGCCAGAAGGTCCCTGTCGAGGAGGAGCGTGTGACAGCCACGGCCGCCCCGGCCTCTCCCAGTGGAGACCCCCGGCTCCGGGGGGCAAGCAATGCAGATGCCGGGCCCTCCCCTCCGCCTGGGCTTGCAGGGAAGGGGGGGGGTGAGGCACCTTTGAAGGTCTTGCCACAGATCTGGCAGAAGTGGGGGCGGCCCTCCTGGTGGCGGCTGGCCACGTGCCTCAGCAGGGGCCCCTTCTCGGTGAAGCGCTGCTCGCAGAACTCACAGCTGAAGGGCCGCTCGCCAGTGTGGGTGCGGTTGTGCTTGTCCAGGCTGGCTGTGGGGCGAGACGAGGGTCAGGCGCGGGGCCCCGGCCCGGGACAGGGAGGGCAGGCCGGCCTCACCTTGGGTGCGGAAGGTCTTGCCACAGAGGTGACACTGGAAGGGCTTCTCGCCCGTGTGTGTGCGCAGGTGTGTGTTGAGATTGGCCTTCTGGGTGAAGGCGTGGCTGCAGAACTCACAGACGTAGGGCCTCTCGTTCCTGTCCGGGTGGGGGACACAGGCCATCACCGAGGGAAGGGGCCCCCTTCACTCCATTGCAGCCGAGAGCCCCCCAGGCCCGAGCCAAGGAAACAGCGAGGCCTGAGCCAGCCGCCTAAGCCACTCTGGAGGGGCCAAGGCTTCTATGGGCGGTCTGGGGAAGGAGGGCCTGGGCAGTGCCAGCAAGGGGACACCAACTCCTGCCCAGGCAGGCACCGAGCCTTGTCTTAGCCTGGACTCCCCTCCCCGCAGCTGCCTGGCAAACTTGCTCAGCCCTCTGCTGCCCCTGCAGGCACACACTCGGGGCGGGTGCTCTGACCCGTGTGTCAGCACACTCTGCCTGCCGGGCCACTTGCTGGCCTGGAGCCGGCGCAGGGCCAGGCCCTGGGGGAAGACGGGCCAACCCCAACCTGTGCTTGGCCTTGGTGTGCATCTGCAGGCCGTTCCGGCTCGAGGCCCGATGCCCACACTCCTCACACACAAACAGCTTCTCTCCGCGGTGCTTGAAAGCCTCGTGCAGCTGCAGTTCTGTCCGGGACAGGAAGCACTTGGCACAGGTGGGACACTGGGGCAGAAGGGACCAGACAGAGGGAGCAGGGTAAGGGCCGGGCGGGGCTGCCCAGGAGCCCGCACCCCCCCGGACACCCTGCATGGCAGAAACCGCACAGCCACCCCTGGAGCAGCTACAGTCCCAGCGTCTGAGCGTGCTGGCCAGCCCTCGGCACCGCCACACACTCACAGCGTGGGGCTTGGGAGCCCCGTGCAGCTTGATCATGTGGCTCTGCAAGTCCTTCTTCTGCATGAACTGCTGGGAGCAGGAGGAGCACTGGAAGACAAGGCCGCAGGCACCTGAGGCAGCCGGCACCATAGCCCGGCCACCGCTGGGCTGGGGGGGACAGAGGGCAGGGCCCAGCCGGAGACACTGGAAGGCCCCTTGACCTGGGTGACGCACACGCTGGGAAGGCGCCCCATGCCCTACCCGCAGGGATGCTGAGCCTGCCCTCTACGGAAAGAAACAAGGGCCCAAAAAGGACCAGTGGCCCAGCCTGAAGGTGTGGGGCACTGGATGGGCAGGGAAGGCGGGGCTTCTTGAAGCTGCAAGGCGGAGGCACCCAGGGGGAGGGATCCTGGGGCTGCCCCTTGGCCCAGGGCCCTGGGGACAGGCCGAGCCTGACCTTGTAGGGCATCTCCCCCGTGTGGGACACCATGTGCACCCGCAGCTCCATCCTCCGGCGGAAGGTCTCCTGACACACAGAGCACGTGAAGACCTGGCAGTGTGAGGGGCAAGCGGGGCCGGCATCAGCGGGGCCTCTGCCCGGGCTTCCACTCGCTGCTGGGAGGAGTCTGCCCGAGGAGGGGGCCGCTAGGGTGGGAGAGGGCAACACGTAATCTGCCTGCCCTGACCCTGACGGTTCAAACCCTCCGCACCAGGCCCCGCTCAGGCCGGGCAGGCTGGGGGCAGGGGCAGCGGCCTTCCCTGCAGCCCTGGCCTGGCAACAGGCCTCTAGGAAGACAAGGGCAGGATGTGGCTGCCCCGCCACATGGCCCGCCAGGGGGTGAAGGGAGTGGCCAGGTGGCCTTTCCCAGCAGGCAGCCCCCCACCAAGGTACCCCCTCTCCAAAGCCCAGGGGCCCGGCAGGCAAACCCCAAATGCCTCCTGGGCTGTCCCTTCCACTCTTGGGACCTGTGTCCACACCTGTAATACCAGGCAGCCAACTTGACGGCATCCAAGAACCATGCAGCTCTCGCGCTGACCGTCCCATGTAAGTCTGCGGCCCTCCCGGGGGCAGGACGGAGGCACGTGCCCGCCACAAGCACCTGGGCCGGCCACGCACCTGCTCGGAGCGGTTCATACAGTTCCGGGCCTCGTGCTCCAGGAGGTTTTCCTTCCGGAAGTAGCACTTCCCGCACTTGGGGCACTCGAAGGGCTTCTCCCCAGTGTGTTTCCTGCCAGAAGCCACGGGTGTGGGCTGAGCGACTTCCCGCCTCACCCTCACCCAGGGCCCCTGCGGCTCCCCACGCGGCTGGTGAACCTGCAGGTGGAGAGGGAACCCTTCCTCCCTCCCAGCTCCGGCCCAGGGGCCGCCCCGATCTCTCTGAGGCAGAAATAACCCCTGGGGAAACCACTCAATCTGCCCGGAGCTTCCATGGGCTGCACCTTCAAAACTGTGGCCATAGCTGACCACTGGCGCCTCCCCTCCGGCCACCCCCGAGGGGCCACACCGGGCCCTGGGCCTGGCCTGAGCCTCCTGCTGGGCCCACACCAGCCTCCTGGCAGCTTTACACGTCAGCCATCATAGGAACCGTAAGCAGGCAGATCTCAGGCCTCTTATTTCCACCTGAGAAAAGGTGGAAAAGGGGACCTGGGGGTACAGCTGCCACGCCCCCTACCTTGCTGGCCTCACTCCCCAGGTCTCTCTGCCATAGTGTCCACCAACCCACTGGCCACGCCAGCCCATGGCCCTGCTCTGGCTCCTCTCTCAGCCTGAACGCTCTCCCCAGCTTCCACTCGGTGAGCGTCCTCACCTGCTAGGAGCTGCTTAAATCTTCCTTCCCAACTACCACTGACCCGTCCTGAGCTCCCCGGCTGGCGCTGCTGTCCCTTCCTCTCTGGGGCGCTTCCCACCTCCGCTTGTGAAGGGACTCGTCTGGCAGGCGGCAGTCTGGGCTGCCCCAGTGGAAGGCAGGGTCCCCAAGGCCTCTTGGTTTTGTTCACTAAGGATCCGAGCACCCAGCACGGGCTCGTCCGCTACTGGCAGGCAACTGCTCACCTCGGAGCCTGTGAGAGGCACCGGCAGCTCTTGCAACCTGCCCGCTCCTCTCGTCCTCTGCCACCTCACAGGCTGTCCTGTTCCAGCCCAAGGGCCTCAGGTGGCCACGGGGGGATGGGCCAGTGCTCACACGGGGGAGTGACCAGGCAGATGCGGTCACCCAGGGTGTCTCCCACACTGGACTTCCCCAAAGACTGCGCTGGCAGCAGCTGCCCCAAAGCAGAGGGTGAACAGGTCCCTTCCTCCTCCCTCCTCCAACTCTGCCGGTCGCCAGTGCTTCCCGAGTGTCACACTGAGGAAACCCGTGTGGCCCAATCTGGCCAGAAATTGCAGCACGGTGGACCAGTGATGTCTTGGGCTAGGGAGTGGTGGGGGGACGGCAGGTCGCCTAGGCGCCGTCCCCGGGACCCTGGAGAGCCTGGAGCAGCGCCCTCCAAGAGAAGCCCCAGCAGCGATGGGACGCTCCATGCCTGTGCCGCCCAACGCGGGGGGCTGAGCTCTGAATGTGGCTGGCACGTCTGAGGGGCTGACAGCATTTAACTGCTCCCTTGTACTTTCCGTTACAACAGCTTGAGCCAAACGGTCTCTTATGCTCCACTGACACCCCAGGACTAGATCCCCCAGAACCCCAGGCAGCGCCAATCCTACCAGTTACCATCTTGGCCCAAAGCCCACGCGGCCAGGCTTCAGAAATACCTATCGTGGCCTCAGGGGCTTCCCTCACCCCTTGGCAGAGCCAGCTGGAGGTCAAGTTCACAGGGGGCGGAGCTGCTGACAGGCTACACAAACCCTCTCCAACCAGAGGGCCCACAGGAGGAGGGAGGAAGGGATCCCACCCAAGGCTAGGTTCTCGCTCCCTTATCATGCGGGTCTGAGACGGAGCCGCTGGCCCTACGTGACCCAAAGTGGGGAGCACAGGCCCCCTCCCCCAACCTGGGAATGGCAGACAGGAGAAGCAAACAGAAGAACAGTGTTTACCTGTTGTGGACTTTCAGGTAGTATTTGCTGAGGAACTTTTTATGACACGTGGGGCATTCAACCGGCACTGCTCTACCTTTTCTCTTCTCGGGGGGCTTGGCTGCCAGGGCGCCTGCGCTCAGGGCTGGCTCGGCAGGACAGGGTTTTCTGAGGACGTTCGATTTCCTCCTGGTCAGCACAGTCTCCATCTCAGAAACACAGTCGCCATCCCCGTCATCCTCAACTTGAACCACCACTTCCCACTAGAGAAGAGGCAGGAGGCGGCACGTCACCCCGTTAAGCAGCAGGGCCCCTGGGTGGCTGCAGCCAGCCCCATCCAGGTCCATCCCAAGGCCCACCCGGGCACATCCCCAGACCAGCCCCCATGCCTGTGCCTGTTCCCGTCAGGGCCCCCGGGGTGGAGGGGGGGGGCACATCAGGATCTCGCACTCGAGGCAGGGGCTCTATTGTGGGAACTGCAAGTGGCTGGATTCCACTATCCTGGGGAAACACCTGCAACCCCGACGCCGCCCACTCCACGCCAAGAAGCTGGCAGCCGCGGACAGCCGAGGCGCAGGGCAAGGCCAGCTTCCTGTGTGTGGCAAAAGCCTGTTTTAAACCCACGTAACAGAGATTCTACCCTGGGGTCCAGCTTATGCCAGAAAAGCGTCAATCTCTTCCCCCGACACCCACTTCCCCAGTCCCAGCACCCTGCGCCCAGTACCTCATTACTCCTGCCCTGCAGCTGGGCACCTTGAGCCTCAAAGGGCCTTGGGGGCACTTTGCAATCCTCAGGCTCCTTGTCCTCTGGGGGACCAAGCTTCAGGGCCTGCTTGAGTGTCCCACGCAGGGACGGGCTCTCAATCGGAGCAGGCAGACCGAGCTGGGGCCTCGGCGGGCTGGTGCTGCCACCAGGCTCCTGATCCCTGGGGACTTGACCCACAGCCCCGGACTCTTCCTCTTCCTCCACGCCTGCTAGCTCCTCGGGGTGGCTGCTCATATCCTGGGGGGCGGGTTTGGCGAGCCCACTCTGGACATTTGGTGCCTGTCCCGCCGAGGTTTTGGGCTTGAAGCTCTGGCACAGTTCCACCGCCTCTGGCACACACAGCTCCCTGGCGGCCAGGAGCACCTGATCGCGGTTCCCTGACGTGAGGGCGAGGTGGCCAGTATAGAAGAAGTCCAACAAGAGGCCAAAAATCTCAGCGAAGCCCGCAGGGAGGACCACGCTGCCCCCGGAGCCAACCCCATAGAGGCTCTCAAAGAAGTGGCTGCAGCAGGCGAGGACGCTCCAGTGGGCCTTGAACACCAGGCCCCCCACGGCCAGGGTGGCGTCGCAGTACTGGCCCTTCTCCCGCTGCTTGTTGAGCTCCTGCAGGACCCTCACGCTGTGCTGGATGAAGGAACCATCCATGATCTGTCTGGAGGGGAGGAAGGCAGAAGTGACATCCTGGCCAGCAGGACCCAGGGGTAAAAGAGAAAGCCCTTAGATTTGCCAAGTGGGAGAGGTGGGGGCTTCGACTCAGCGTCACATTTAGTAGTACGAGAGCTCAGATCGAGACTAGAGTGTGCATGCAGAGACAGGAGCAGACTGAAAGCTTCCCCGGGGGCGGGGGTCAGGTGAGCAGCCCATCGTAGGATTGGCCAGAGAGTGGGTGGCGGGAGCGCAAGGGGACTCGGTGGGGGGACGAGGAATGGCTTGGTGGGACCCAGGGCAGGCTCGTCAAGGGGCGCTGATGGAAGGGATTCAAGTTTGGGGGAAGGAGCAGCGGATCAGCACGAACTGATCGGCCTTGCACAGCGAGAGGACCCGCGGCAGGGGAGGGCGGCGGCTGCCGACAGGTGAGCGAAGCCCACGCCGCTCCCAGGGCTCCCGAGCGGCCGGACATAAGGCGGCCGCAGCCCTTCCCTCTCTCGCTCGCGCTCCGCCCTTCTCACCCGGGCCGGTCCTCCCTGCGCCGGCCCCACAGATTCCAGACGCGTCCACTCCACAGCCCCACCCGCCAACTGCCCGGGGCGTAAGCACCCGGCCGACAGCACGGAGCGGAGACGCCGCCGTCGCCGCCGCCGGACGTGACGTCATGCCGCGCCCGCCGGGGTGGAACACCTGAGAGGCGCAGGGTTTTAGCGCTACATTTGGGGGCGGGGCCACGAAGAAGACGACCAATGAGATGAGAAAGGGCAATGGGGCGGGGCCAGGCCCTGGACTTCCGTCACCGGCCGCCTCCCAGAGCTGCCTAGCAACGTCAAGCAGGGCGCGGGGTTTTCCTCCGGTTCTGGCCGAGTCCTGAGGTTCCGGCTGCGGTTTGCCCGCCGCTGCGCTTTCAGGCCTGAAGAGGTAGCGCCCCACGCTCGCCCAGACTGGAAGCGCAACCAAGACGCACGTGTGTGTTTTTTTAAATCCTCACCCGAGGATATATTTAATGATTTCTGCCTCCCATAAGCACCCAGACCAGGGTTGGAACCCGCCAGCTCTTGGTGCACAGGACGCCAATCCAACCAGCCTAGCCACCGGGCCAGGGCACAGGTCACCTCTTTACTGGCAGCCCAGGCGCCGCCCGCCGACACCCCGCCGGCCGGCAGGAGCCTTTGAGGTGGCGGCGGAGGCTCAGGGCCGCCGGCAGAGGGCGCCCGCTGCTCCCAGGCCGCTTCTTTCCGACGCTCCCCGGGCCGCGGGGCGGAGCGATGAGATCTCGCGAGATTCTCGCGCCGCCGGCGCCGGCGACCAGCATGGCGGACACCTTGCAGCTGCCGAAGCGGGGGCCCCTCCGCTCCACGTGGGCGCGATCCCGCAAGGCCCGGCCCCAGCTCACCCTCAGCCGCCGGCCCCGCCGCCGGCTCCGGCTCCTGCGCTGGTGCGGCCGGAGGCGCCTGCGGCGGCGGCTGCTGGAAGCCCAGGCGGCCGGCGCGGACTGGCGGGAGGGCAGCTGGTTGGCGTCGCGCTCGGCGGCTGCCCCGGGGCCCAAGACCGCGGTGCCCAGCCGGGTCCCTAGACCGCTCCCCAGCCCGACCCCCAGCCGGGCCTCCAGCCCGACCTCGGACGAGAACGAGGACACCGCCCCGAGTTGCCCCGCGAGACTCCCCATCCCGCCGCTGCGGCCGGCTGGCCCGGGCCGCGCGTTGCTGCTGCTGCCGCGGGAACAGGTGCGTCGAGCGCCCAGAGAGCCCGGCGGGCTGGGGGGTCGGAGACGCAGCCCCGAGGGTGGCAGGCGGGGTAGACCGTGCCCCTCTGTGGGAGTCGAGAGAGCCCTCCCGGCGGTGGTGCTGGGCAGAGGGTGAGAAGGACTCCGCTTTGGGTGATGTAGGTCTTTGGGTGATTAAAGGGACTTGAATGGCGACGGTTTTGGTAATCGGTCGCATTTACTGGGTGCCTAGTAACGCCAGGCTCTGCGTGTTCTGAGTGTCTTGGTTGTAGGAACCCATGGAACGCTCCCAGCCACCTGGAGTCGTTGCCGCGGTGGCGATGGATGTTGACAGGAAGAAACAGGGTTAGCTTAGGTCACTTACCCAAAGGAGCCCGGTAGTCGGATCCGACCCCCGCAGCCTGATTGCAGGGTCCCTGCTCTTCACTTGGACTCTGGTCGGGAGGACAGCAGAGCTGGGTTCGTGGGACCCCCTTGTTTTCCGTGTGTTCCTGTCTGTAGCTGCATGGGAGGTCATCTGCGATCAAAAAGCATTAAGTACCTGAAAGTCACCCACTGCAATGTATTCTGTTATTTAGAAATCTGCCACCTTTTGATATGTGACTAGCAATGAAGATTTTGGAAAATTCAGGCATTAGTAACCGAATCCACAATGTTCTTTTCTTTTTTTCTTTCCCTGCTAGGTTTTTCCTTTTAGCGGGACCTGTCGCGTGACTTGCCTTTATGGCCAGGTGCAGGTGCTTGGTTTCACCATTAGCCAAGGCCAGCCTTCCCAAGAGGTCTTCTCTACCTACACCCACTCTTGCCTGGCTCTCAGTGCTGTTCATTACTCGATGCCTGAGAAAAGCAAGAAGGAGATGAAAAGAGAAGCCCGGACTTTGCTCAGAGCTCATCTTAACCGGGGTAATGAGAAGAAATGGATCATCTACTACAGTGGTTCTCAACCTTGGCTGCACATTAGAATCACCTGGGAATCTTTTTAAAATCCTGATTTCTGGGCCTCATCCTCCGGAAATTCTGTTTCTTTTTTATCAGGTGGGGCCACAACATTAGTAACAAAGAAACAATTTCTGGAGGATGAGGCCCAGAAATCAGGATTTTAAAAAGATTCCCAGGTGATTCTAATGTGCAGCCAAGGTTGAGAACCATTGACTTAAACCCTCACAGCCCTGGCCAGGTGGCTCAGTTTGTTGCACCATCATCCTTTATACCAGTGATGGCGAACCTATGACACGCGTGTCAGAGGTCACACGCGAACTCATTTTTTTGGTTGATTTTTCTTTGTTAAATGGCATTTAAATATATAAAATAAATATCAAAAATATGTCTGTTTTACTGTGGTTGCAAATATCAAAAAATTTCTATATGTGACACGGCACTGGAGTTAAGTTATGGTTTTTCAAAATGCTGACACGCCGAGCTCAAAAGGTTCGCCATCACTGCTTTATAACAAAGGATGGGGGGGGGGGGGGTTCCATTCCTGGTCAGGGCACTTACTATCGATGTTTGTTTCTCTCTCTCTACCTCTACTTCCCCCCCTCCCTCCTCCACTCCCTCTCCTTCTCCTTCCCCCTCCCTCTCTCTTTCTAAACAGCCTAGCAGCCCCCCTAGCTGGTTTTCTCAGTGGTTAGAGCAGCACACCCCACCCCAACTGAAGAGTCTCTGGCTCGATTCTGGTCAAGGGCACATACCACTGTTGCAGGCTTGATCCCCAGGCAGGTCTGGGAGGCAACCAATTGATGTGTCTCTCACATCCATGTCTCTCCACCCCCTCCCCCTTCCTCTTCTCTCTCCCTCTTTTGCTTCTCTCTCTCTCTCTAAAAATCAATGGAAAGAATATCCTCAGGTGAGGATTAATAAAAATAAAGAATTAGTTAATTAAATGTATCCTCAGATGAGGATAATGAAAATAAGCCCTCGCAAAAGTCCTGAGAGTGACTGGTCACCATATTGTTGTCACCATTTTGGAGAGGAGAAAAGCTGCCCAAGGCACACAGCTAGCAGGTGCCAAACCTGGATTGACTTCTCAGCCCGGGGGTGTTCCTGTTGTGCAGTACGGCCTCCTGAAAAAAGGCTCTCAAACATAACGTCCATCTCAAAAAGTTCACAGTTCAGCCGAGGAAATGGTAGTCCTGAAGGGCATAGAGTTTCATGGAGTCACTGTTCGTAAGGTAGCTTCATTTTCTCTTTACAGATGACAGATGTTGGTTGATGAAGAACTTTTCTCCCCTGTGTTCCATTGTGATGCTAGAAAACCTGAAAAACGCCACCGTGAACTTCATAACCAGCCATCCAGGCTTATCTTACATTTTCGAACAAGAGGTAAAACCAAGTTTTCATTCTGAGTTTTGCAAATTACTTTCACCGAAACAGTCCTGTCACATGCCTGTGTAGGGTGCTGCCCTCGAGGCCAGCCTGCCTTGTGCTATATGTCCTACAGGTTGTGATACGTGTGCTCAGTAAGAATAGTAACTGTCGAAAGGTATATCCTGAAAAGGCCCCCCTTCGTTTCATTCCCCAGCAAAAGCCATCATTTTATATTATAGTCGGTTAAGTGCTTTTTGGCATTTTTTAAAAAAGGGTTATCTTGTATCTTGACTTATTAGCAGGAGACAGTATAAGTGTTCTCTGAACTGTGAATGAGTAATTTCGATGTACTTATACTTTCTCCCAGCTCTCTCTTCTCACCTGTCTGTTTTGCTGGCCCTGTTACTAATTTCCTGAAGCCCAGTTTTTACTTTAATTGCCTCCCATGAGTCAGTAAATGGAATCTAACCCATAAGATTGTTGGACAGACTGGATGGTGAGATATGAGGAAGAACAAGGACTCACCAGGCCTTTGGGGCTCAATGCCTGGGTGCTTGGCGTTTCTATTAAGACGGGGGTGACTACAGGAGCGGGTGTAGATGTGTGGGCTTCGCGGTGCCTGTTAGATGGCGAGTCTGGAATTCAGAAAAGAGGTTGGAAATGTGAATTTGGAGCTTTGAGCAGAAGGGGATCCAAAGGCCTCACGGTGGGAAAACAGCACCGAGGGAGTCGATAGAAACGGGAAGGTTCCAGGTCTGAGCCCAAGACCCTCCCAAGAACTGGGCTCCATGAGACCGAGACAGTGTGGTCATTGGTGTCAAAACTGAAGGCCTGCTCGCTTGTTTTCTAGGATGCAGAGCTGCTGACAGCAGGCCTGATTGCCAGGCGGCTCTCATTCCTTTTATGACCTCTTTTCCTTGTGATCCTGGGCGGGTCTCTTCCGTGATCCTCTTCCACGCAGGGTGTGTTCCATCCCAGCTCCAGCTGCCTCCGCGGGAGTGGCTCCCGTTCCTCGGGTGGCTCTCCCGCGGTTTCCTGGTACTCCTAGGACGCCCTCGGGCTTCGTGGGCCTGCCTTCCACGTCCTTTCTGCTCTGTCTGCGTATGTTCTGTCTGTTGGCTGTTTGGAGGATTGCCTTGACTTCGTTCAAATACCCAGCCTGCTCTTGGCCTTCGGCCTCCAGTTCCCTTTTCCTTCTGGCAATCACTCACGCGTGTTCATTCTCTCGGCGTGTCCTCGGGGCCATGTCGGCTGGGAAGTGAGCGGAAGCTGTGGGAACGCGCTGGTGCCCTAGGAGGAGAGTGACAAGGGTTGGGGTTGGGAGAAGGGAGGGATCACATTTATCTTTAGCTCACAGTTGCGTGAGGCTTATTAATTTAGAACTGAGGGGAAAGGCGCATTCGTTTCCACCTTTTCTAAAAGTTGATGTTGTTCATTTCAGAGGACAACTTTCCAGATTAACGCGGAGTATTTCGCCTTGAGGTCTGTGGGCATTAAAAAAGAGAAGAAGAAAAACGGCCTTCAGCTCAGTGAGAGTTTCCTGTCGGCCCTGGAGGAGCTGGTCAGCGTCGCCTGTGGTGAGCGAGACGTTGATAAGCTTGAGTGCTCCCGCCAGAGCCCCAGTTCCCGTGAGTAGAGCCCTAGGGAGAAGGCTAACTCTAGGGCATGTTTGTCTCGCCTCCAGAGGAAGTAGACGGCTGCCCCATCATCCTGGTCTGTGGCTTTCAGGACGTCGGAAAGTCAACATTTAATAGGTACCTGATTAACCAGCTGTTGAACAGGTAAGAGTGTTCTTGTTTTGACAGGTTGCTCGATTTGGGGCCGGAAGTAGGAGTTTGGATTTAGGAAACTGGACGGGGATGCCTCTTGACTTCTCAGAAGAGAGTATTTACAACTCTGTGCCCAGCAGCTCGGCTAAGCGATGGCTCTGGGTGCTGACCTGCCTGTCAGTGCGCTTCGGGGAGGGTCGCTTGGTCTCAGCATCCGTATTTGTCCACATCGAGATTCAGAGTAGGTCAACTCCATTGCCTTTTACAGGTAACGTTTTAGGAAAGATGACGCTGTACCATATTACGAACGGACACTGTGACCCATCACATGTCATCTTTAGGCATTGTTGTATATGGATCAAGCAGTCCACCCAAAAGCCTGCCTGGGGTGGATCACAACCATCCTATATAACAAAAGGCCAATGACCAATCAACCAGTTGCCATGAGGTGCATTGACCACCTCTCGGTCCCTCCCCCCAGCCTGTAGGCTCTGATCGCTGGATGGCCAACGGGGAACTGGGATGGGTGATGGCGGGGCAGGACTGGGGACTGGCAAGCGGGCGGAAGGCAGACTTCTTGGTCCCTCCCCTGGCCTGTAGGCTCTAATCGCCAGATGGCGAATGGGGAACCGAGGTGGATGTCGGCAGCAGGGCGGGACTGGGGACTGGCGAGTGGGCAGAAGATGGCCCTGATTGCAGGCTAGGCCCAGGGGCCCTACCCACGCACGATTTTGTGAGCTGGGCCTCTATTATAGCACATAAAATCCTTAAGATCTGATTTATCCTTTCCACAGAGTAAAGCTAGTTAAGATTTCCTTTTGAATTTTTAGTATTTCCTGCGTTGACTATTTGGAATGTGACCTGGGACAGACAGAATTTACTCCTCCGGGCTGTATTTCTCTACTTAATATCACAGAACCGCTTCTAGGTACGTATTGTAGGTTCTTAAACGTTCTGGTGTTAATAAGATGTGAGAGGAATGATACTTAACCAGAAAGTCAAAGAATATGACAGTATAAAACATAAATGCGAGCTTACCCCTCCAAACTCATGGTCTTCCCATAACTGTCCAGCCTCCAAAAATCAGAAAATAAACGGACACTTTGTGGGGTCCATTTTAGTAAATGGACCTGCTGTCCATTTTATTATATGTAAGTTAGAAACACAGTTTCCTTTAATATTAACATCTTATTGAACCCTATACAACGATCTAAACCAGGAAATTAACATTGATACAATGCTATTAATTAACCTATAGATTTTATTCAAAATTAACAAGTTACCCACTAATCTTTTTCTGATTCAAAATCCAAACCAGAATCCCACATTGCTCTTTTTGTTTGTTTTTGTTATTTTTTTAACTGAAGTTTTAGAAAAAGTGGGAGGGAGGGGGAAAGAGAGAGACATCTATGTGAGAGAGACACATCGATTGGTTGCCTTCCGCTCACACCCTGACCATTCTGGGGTTAGAACCTGTAACCCAGGTATGTGCCCTTGACTAGGAATAGAACCCGAGACCCGTTGGTGCTTGGGCCGACATTCTAACCCATGAGGAACACTGGCCTGGGCATGGATTCATTACTGTTACCTATCTTCTTAGGACCGCCTTACACCCACCAGAGGACACCACAGAAAATGGTATATTTTGGGAAATCTACTTGTAAAAACAACTATGAGAATTACATTGAGATCATCAAGTATGTGTTCAGCTCCTACAAGAGAGAGTCCCCTCTCATCATCAACACAATGGGCTGGGTGACAGGTAAGGCCACAAGGCCGTGGGACCGGGAGGACTAGTGGGAGTGAGCTCCCGGCTCAGACCTGCAGCTGGAGCCCAGTTTTGGGGAGATGGTCCGGCCGAGCACTGTCTCAAAACGACACGGCGTTGTTCTGGGGCACTGACGCTGACGTCCTCTTCTTCCCGCAGATCAGGGCCTCTTGCTTCTCGTGGATCTGATCCGCTTGCTGTCCCCCAGCCACGTGATTCAGATCAGTTCCAGCCGGAGCAGAACCATGCCGCAGTTCACCCCCACCTACGTCGACGACATGGATGGCTTGTACACCAAGAGCAAGGCCAAGGTCAGAGACCGAGGCTTCTACCTGCCAGAATTTGCAGACAGTTTGGAATTCGGTGACGAAGAAAAGGAGAGTCCGGTGGCATTTTCTGGGCATAAGCTGATGTGCGTCCAGTTGGACTTTGCGTTTAGAAAAACTCCAAGGAATCGGTAAGTAAACCGCCGTGGCTGGAGAATTCCGTTTTCTTCCTTTTAACATGCCTTCTGCCCTCAATTCCTCAGAGCAGTAAGTCCTGTAACACTTTCAGTCTCCAGCGCAGGTGGGGAGGGGGTCGGGGGAGAGAGCAGTCAGTCGTTTTCCTGTGGGACTGTCCAGAGTGGGCTCCTGCTAGCAGGACAGGCTTCCTGCTCCGTGTCCCGCGGGCTTAGAGAAAGGCAGGGTGTGCGGGTTCCAGGGTGCAGATGGATCTATGTAATGACAGGTGGGGGGCCTGTCAGGGGGGCTCCTCATCTCCTCCTGGTTTGCTTTTCAGGGATTCGCATAACAGAGTTCTTCGGGACTTGGCCATGTTGGGTTACCTTGGCCAGCTGCAGGCCCCCGCGCCGAAACCGCTTCGTCCCCTGCACAGCCTGACCCCCTATCAGGTACACGCTGAGCTGGTGTGGGGACCAGCTGCCTGCCAGCAAACACCGTGGTTTCTGTGTGTGACGCTCTTCTCTCCACTTTAGAACTCCTCTCGTAACCCTCAGAACAGCCCACGGGGTGGGATCAGTGACTCCCGTTTGAGGAACCCAGCAGCAGTGGCAGAGCTGGCATCAGGCTGTGCTGTCCAGGGCACAGCTCTGGTTCCGGGCCAGTGGGAATGTCCTGCCTGACTCCAGAGGTGGCCCTGGATTGACCCCAGGCAGTCTGGTTCCAGCGCTCCCACATCCGAGCTGTGTGACTTGGTTTGTCGTTGGTAGACCTGGTGGGACGGTTGTGTGGAGTCCACGGGAGTGCACAGTGGTGCCTGGCCCCCAGGGGGGACTCTTAAAGTCTTGCACGTTATTGTCAGCAGTAGATTCTAGCACTGGAGCATGTGCATCTTGGGATCCAGAATTATTTGGGGAAGAAACCACCTTAATACTAGAATTCTGGGTGATGGGAGAATAAAATAGTGACAGGAAGCATTTCCTAAGTGCTTACTCTGCTGTGTTCTAAGCCTGTGTTTCCTCCTTTACTCACAGTGACTCTGTTATGATCCCCATTTTACAGATGATAGGACTGAGGCCGGGACATTGAGTCAGCTGACCCAGAGGGGCACAGTTAAGGTTTGGGCTGGCCTGCAGGCCATGCAGCCTGACTCCAGAGGCCAGAGCGTTCACCCTCCGCTGTATGCCCTGTCCAGTGTTGAGCCCTTGCTGTGTGCCGGCCACTGTGCTAAGCTCATTACCAGGAATGGCCTGGTGACTGCATGGCACTGGGAGGGCGATGCTCGTTGCTCGTTTCCAGCTTAGCGACCTGGGCACAGTCGAGTGGAGGGGCCAGGGCTGAGGCCTCGCAGGCAGGCGCGGCGGACCCGCACGGACCCGCACGGCAGGGATGCCCCTCTCGGCCTCCCGTCGTCCCCACCTGAGCGTCGGAGGCGGTTTGTTCGCTGGAGTTTTGCTCACGTAGGGAAGCTGTATAACTGAAGTTGGAACTTACCTGCCAGTAATTTAAATTGCCTTTTTTAAATTTCACATTTGTTTTGAAATTTAAATAATCTATGTAACAAAGTACTTTTCTGCTTTAAGAATTTGAAATTACCCAGAAAGTTACATTAAAGGTAGTTATTTATCTCGTGCTCCAGGAGTATGATGCATTTTTCTTAATTCAATATGTTGCATCAGGGAATGAATGGCGGCCTTTTCTCACTGAGTGGATTTTGGCTTTCTTACATTAGTACCTCCGTGATGGGGTCTTCACAGTCTCCCGCAACTGTAACCCCTGTAGGACCTCTACAGACTTGTGTCTGTGTGTCTCTTTAGACAAGAGAGTTCCAGGCATTCGTTTAGATTTCTAGCAAGTGTGGGTGGTGCACAAGGACTTTGTGTCAAGTTCTTGGGCTCTGTATTAAAGCAGTGAAACTGAGCAAACGCTGGTTGGTGTCTCCTCGCTGTTCAGATACTTTTCAGCGGGAGTTTGGCAGACATAACTTTAGAAAGCTGCCTAGTCAGCTGACACAAACTAAAACTAATTTCTCAGAATTAATAGAGGGAGGTGGGGGTAGTAAAGGGTAAAGGAGGTCGTACGTGTAGTGACGAAAGAAGATTGGAGTCTGGGTGGTGAACACGTAACGCAATATACAGATTATCGTGGAAGTGTGCACTTGAAACCTATTAAGTTTCTTAACCAATGTCACCAAAAAATTTAATAAAGAAAAAAAGAATTAACAGAGGGAGGTGCCCGTTTGTTTTCCAGGTCCCTTTCCATGCTGTCGCCCTCCGGGTCATTCACTCTGATGTCGCCCCTACCCACATCCTGTATGCTGTGAACGCCAGCTGGGTCGGCCTTTGCAAGATCCTGGATGATGTTGGAGGATATACAGAGGGGCCCGTCCTGCTTACGCAGACTCCAATCTGCGATTGTTTGGGCTTTGGTGAGTGAGGGTGAACGTGTCTATAAACCTACGGAGCTTGACCCACTTCTGCAGCTGTAATGGCCGGTCTGACCTCGGGGCTGTCTCGGCTCAATGGTCAAAGAGCTGTTCTGTCTCCACACACCGTGGGCCTCGGGCCTCGGGCAGGCAAGAAGCAGTTCTTCCTCTGCTTCTCCGCTGGCCCCTCTAAGTCCCGGATCCCCGAGGCCTGGGGATGCCTTCTCACCTGACGTGTTTTCTCGAGGCTGCTCGCCCACTGCTGGGGCTCTCAGTCCCTCTTCATGCTGACTTCCCATAGGGTTCCAAGCCCGTGTTACCCGTGCACTCTCTGCTTGGATATCTCACGGCGTCCAGGACTTGGGTCCAAAACTGAGGTCCTGATGGGTCCACAAGCCTGATGTTCTCCCCGGACCCCCCATACCACCCTATACCACCTCCTGTCCCCGTAGGTCCTTCAATGGTCCTTCAAAGATTCACGCTGGTGTTTGGGCCTAACCCCTGGGTCCTCCTTGCCTCGTTCTCCACCCTCTCGCAGGTCAGGCGGCTTCTGTTCCTGAAGTGAGTCAGGCTCCTCCAGGTCATGTCCTCCCGTGCCCGTGTGAGCGTCCTCACTGGACTCCCCCCTCTCGGGAGTGACCTGAGCGCAAGCGACGCGGTCACGTCCTGACATCCTGCCGTGTCCATAGCACAGGGCCGGGCCTGGCTGGGCCTTGCAGCTCCCGCAGCTCTGGGCCCGTCTCCTCCGGGAGCCCCCTGCAGGTGTTTGTCTCTTGGCTCACGAGGTCAATAAACATCAGTGGATGTTTCTGGAAGTTTGACCCAAAATTAGCGAAGTCATTAGCAATTACACATTTCTGATGGATACAACACTGTATTTCTTAAAGCATCTTCGTAGAGATGGGTCGCTCTGTGCAGACCACAGAGAAGGACTGGTGAAGGGAAAGGCTGGGTCACCTTCGCCCCACTAGACTGTCCCCGGGCGCGCTGGCGCAGGCACAGGTGCAGGCTAGAACTTCGGCATGAGGACCACTCGGTGCCTCACAGCCGAGCAGGGAGAAGCTCCCATGGCTTCCGGCATTCCCACACTCCGTCTCCCGCCACATCATATTTCAAAGCAAAACCCAGTTGAAGTTGAAACTCTGTTTTAGAAGCTGCTCTGCAGTGGGAATGGTGGGAGGCCTGGCGCCTGGCGGAGGGTGATCTGCGTGTGCTCTGGGTCTTCCAGGGATCTGTCGGGGGATCGACATGGAGAAGCGGCTTTACCACATCCTCACGCCTATGCCCCCGGAAGAGCTAAGAAATGTGAATTGTCTGCTGGTCGGAGCCATTTCCATTCCACAGTGCGTCCTCAAGAGCCAGGTGAGCGTGGCTCCTGGGAGGGAGCTGGCTGTGTCTGTGATAGAGAGAGAACCTGAAGCTGGGCTAGAGTCGTGGGCAGTCTATTGTTGGGGAGACCGACACTTGGTTGTAGGGGCTGAAGGAAGCCAGGGGACAGGCAAGGCCATGAGCCACCAGCGCCACGGGAGCCCGTGGGAGAGCCATTCCCTTCCCTGAGGCTGAGGCCATCTTCAGGTGCAGCCCTGGGAAGGTCATGGTGGCGAGAGCATCCGTGCGGCCCCCAAGCCCAGCTGCCGGGCCTGTGGGTGGCCTGTTCCTCCCCTTCTTACCTGCTTGTTGGAGATGGAAACGCCCGCACTTACCACTCCTGTTGGATGTGCTTGTGGAGTTGACTAGACAGACAGACAGACTGGAGGCTGTGGTTAGGGGCCCTGCGCCAGTGCTTCCGGGCCTTTGGGGAGAGCTTACGAGGGGGTGGGGCTCGGGAGGGGCGGGGCTCACTCAGACTCCACGCTGTCTTCTGCGGGAGGAAGACTGGGCGGATTGGGAGTTTGCATGTTTTCTGTTTCCTTTCAGCATGGGTTCGAGGGGATGATTCCTTACGTCACCACAGATTATAATATTAAACTTCCTGGAGCAACGGGGAAAATTGGAGCAAGAGAAGCTGAGGAAACATATAGAAAGAGACAACATCCAAAAGCTAGGTTCTATCGAAAGGCACACTGACGTTGCTAACGAGGGAGGAAGCCTGACTGTCTCCGGCCTGACGTCAGCGGACCGATGGGCTCTGCGCTGCGACTGCGCCCTGGCGAGCAGCGTTTCCTCCACAGCTCGTGGAAGTCATAGTCCCCTTAAGTCCCTTCTTAAAGCTCCGCGACCTCATTTCGCCCTGCTCTGCTGTGTGGTTCATCATCCACGATGTTTCATTTCCTACAGGGAGAAAGCAGCAGGGAAAAGGTGACACGCCATTGAAACAGAACAAAGTTCAAGCATCTGGTTGGAACCTGGGTAAAAATAGGGAGACAAGGGCCCAAAAGATGTACCAAGGAGGACGGCAGGCTGGCCAGCGGGATCCCAGCATAACAGGATGTGGGGATGCACCTCGGCCCTCGCCCACTTGTGGTGGCCGGCCAGGGTGGGGGACCCGCTGGTGGGTTGGTCCCATCCCCTGATCACGTGATCCTATCCACCTCTTCCATTCCTGTGGGACAAGTATTAAAAGATCATGCTTCATCTTTAAATGTAATCAAGGCTTAACAGATGGAGGTTTGGACTTGAGAAGCCTTCTCTTGCTCTCAAATCCAGGAACCCTCTCGGGGCCTCGTTAGAGATTTGCCCTGATTGACTTCTCCTTTGAGACTGACAGCCTGGGCAGAGGTCTGGGAGAGGCCTGGGAGGGCAGCTCTCAGTGGCCCATTCCTGCCGTTGGCAGCTCGACCTGAACTTGAACATGCGGACAGTTCTGGGCTGTTGAGCACCCCCTCCTGAGTGCGGGAGCTGGTGATGGTGCCATCCTCCCAGGTGGAAGTCTGTCTTCGTCTCCCTGGTGCTCACGAGTCCTTACCCTGAGGTGGGTTGTTTTGGGGGCAGAGAGGAGCCGTCTGGAGCACCATTTCTGTGCTGAGGAGAGCGGGATTCTGTACTGAGGCAGCATTTCAGACTTACTGTGAACGTCCGCTTCCTGCAGATCGTGTTGAAGGCGGTCCCTAGGATTCTCCGGTTTTACCATCTGTATTCATTTAAATCGCTGATTATCGTTGTCTTTAAGCATCTCAGAGACCCTCAGGCGTGCAAATTCTCACAGGAGCCTTGTCCCTCCCGGGTGAATTTTAGGATTCTGGAGACCACTTAAGGTCTCACTTCTTCATTGCCTCTTATTTATATTTAAGTTTACCATGTACACATTTTTCTATTTTGACTTGGCAAATAGTTGTGAGACAATCCACTACCGTCAATTTCTTGCCTCCTTCCCCAACCCCTGCATCTTGATGACAGTCACTAGGTCGCTAGCAGCAGGTCGCATTTGCCTTTTCATTGCTCCAGGCCTGCCTTCAGCTGCCCCTCTTGCTGGCATTTAAGGACGCGGTCCTTTTTCAGTCCCCTCGGTAAAGAAAGCAGACGGGGCCACTAGAGGGAGTTGTCAGCCATGGTCAGAGGGCCGGACCCTCTAGGTCCCTGGCTCTGGCCAGGCGGCTGTGGATGTCCATTTGCCTACCAGTGTCGGTGGTGTGGGCTTGTTATTTCTAGTCGGCTGTGGTCAGGGTGTGTAGGAATGAGTCTGCATTGAGTTATTCTTAATCGTCGGTGTGTGATTTCCAAAGTAGTACCTGCTTATTCCAGGGTTCACTTTATTTTATAAACACAGACAGCTCAGTGTTCCCTCCTGACCCTGTTAGTCCTGGGGGTAGGAGTCAGTGTACGCCCAGGCCCCAGCCCAGAAACGAGATTAGAGAGGGGGAGGGACAGTGACTCGCCCTCCAGGTGCCTTGGAGTAGGATTTCCGAGAGATAGGACTCTGGATGGAAGTGGCTCCTGGGGGAGGACAGAGGGGTGGGGAGGCCCCAGGTGGAGTGGAGGCCCTGCCTCCACTGGGTCCTTTGACAGGTGGAATCACCTGCCGGAAACGCAGCTGTCTGCCCTACGGTGTGGGGCGGGGCGATATGGGTCCAGGGCTCCTTTATGCCAAGTTCTGAGTTTTTAAAAATGGGTCGGTAGAGGCCTTATTAGCTTTGGATGTGGCAGTGTCGCGGGTCAGACAGCAGGCTGTGATGTTAGAGCTCTGAGTTCAAATCCTGGCTGGACCACTGGCTCCATGAGGTTGTGGGGAGACATTCACTGGAGCCTATTCCCCTTTAAGATGGGACAGAAGCTCTTCCCTGGGGTCCCTGCCCGCGCAGTGCGGAGGCTGGGCCCTCAGGCGAGCAGGGACTGCATGCGTCCGTCTGGAAGGCAGGAACCAAGATCGGATTGTTCACAGTCACCCCAGAACGAAGCAGAAGCTCAGTGTTGGAATCAGAACCTCTTGCCTGGCCCCCCTCCAGCAGGTTCACCTTAAAACCGTTCTTCCGGCCGCATGTCCCGCTAGAGCTCCTGTGAAGGACCCCCGGGGAGTTTTTCCTGAACCTCTGTTTAGTGTTTTTGAACTTGGATGGACAGGTCACACATTTAGAACGTGATCCAGTCCACTGCACGGAGAATCGCTGTTGGTGCCATGCTGCTGCCTCGTCTGACATTTTCTAAATTGTGTTTGTTTTTTTTACAACATTGGTGTCCTGCTCTGTGTGTGGTTTTCTGTCCAGCTCTTTTCACTTATATCCTTTTTGTATCATTAAATATTTTTTAGGACATGAATTGGTGTCATTCCTTACATACAGAGACCATTTTGTTCCAGGAAATTACTTCAGTGATTAGGAGCGATGATGGCAGAAACACCGCGTAAAATAAAGCACTGGGAGGGGCTGGGGTGTGGGTGCCGGGGGACGCAGGGAGCCCAGCAGTGCCACATTGCCGGCGGTGTTGAACGCAGTGGCAGGTTAGTTTTTCTGTTTGGGCCCAGGTATGTGAGCTGAGAGAGGTGCCACCTCCTTTCTGGCTGTCTTGGAGTGTATTAGAGAAGGAAAATTTTGCTCCCAGAAAAGTTCAAATTAAGAAAAGAGAAGCCCGGGTCTGGGGCTGTAACTGCCTCTGGACGGTGCGAGCAGCTCCGCTCCCCGCTCCCCGCTCCCCTCCCAGGGCCGGGCCTGCCCCACAAGCTGGCTGACAGGCTGAGCCTGAACAGCGGCTGAAATAAACATGGGGCCATCTGTGCCGTGAAGGAAGGAGCATGTGCTGTTCGGGCCTCTGGGAACAAACGGCTTTGCTAAGCTAAAGAGTTCCAAGGCTTTGCCAGGAAGAGTTGGGCAGAGAGGGCTGGGCAGACTGCACTTGGAGTCCAGTCGGGGCAGCAGGTCCCCTGGAAGTGCCGGCGCTGAGTAAGCAAACAGCTGAGCCGGAGGACACTGTTGGGCTGGGAAGCCGCGGGTTGCCATGGTGACTGATGCCTCCGCGGTGCTCAGCAGACTGTGGCTTGGGTTTTTCTAATACTTTGGAACTGACTTGATCTCCCGGGTGAGCGTCTGCCGGGCAGGGAGAAGCCACGGAACTTGCAGGCCTGCCTCCTCGCCAAGGCGCCCCGCGGGGCTGCCGCCGGGACTGCAGACACCAGGGTCCCGGCGCTGCTTCCCGGGAAGGGAGGGACCCGAGGCGGCCAGCAGCCTGAGGAGTCTGCTCCAGGGCACGAATGGATGGAAAATCCAAGGGGAGAAAACCACCAGCAGGGGAACGCCGTGCAAACCGCGGCCAGGAAGCCCAGACGTTAGAACGTACAGCGCCCAGAGGGCCGGCCTCGCCGGGAAGCAGATTGGCGGGGCTGAGGGCTCCCGGGGCTGTGCAGACGGATTCCGCTGGAGGAGCTAGGATTGGGGTGAGGCTGGGAGAAGCCCTTCGCTGCAGAAAGGGACACAGACCTGGGGGCCTGGCACGTGGCTGGAGGGCCGGGCGAGGTGCCACCCGCGCTCAAGCATGAACTCGGTCCTCACAAAGTGCGGGTCTCCGCCTCGCGGCTGGCTCAGCCTCCGTCTGGGAAGCAGTGAGTATGTTTTCTTCTCTCTTGTCCAGAAAGGGGGGTCGATGGCACTGAGCCAGGAGAGAAGCCGGGGGCTTGGAGGGCCACTGGGTCCCACGCCTGCTGACTCGGTCTGGACGCTTTAAGAAGCCCCCCTACAGGCTGAGCCGGGATTGTCCCCACTGACCTGGGGGTTCGTGAAAGTGGGGAAGGCAGGATGGCCCAGCCCGCTGAGGGTCAGCCCTCAGCCCTGACCCCATTGCGAGGATGGCACAGATGTCGCGGTCTTCTGAGCGGGCAGAGCAGGGAGGCTCCCCCCACTTCCCAGGAAGGAGAAAGCAAGGTCTCTGCTGAGGGGCTGCTCCGCTGGCTGGTGAAGGGCATAGTGGGGAGGCGCCCAGGACCCGTCACATGGCCACATTCTGTGCATCACAGTCCTGTCCTATCGCTAGGTTTTGAGTAGGTTCCCAACTTGGCCTTTAGCTATTTGTAAAGGCGCCGTGAGCACTGGCTGGTGTTGCCAAATGTTTAGAGCACCAGCCCACACACCAAAGGGTCATGGGTTTGATGCCCGGTCGAGGGCACGTACCTGGGTTGCAGGGTTGATCCTCGCCCCCAAAATTGGGATGCATGCGAAAGGCAACTGATCAATGTGTCTCTCATATCAATGTTTCTCTTCCCCTCTCTCTACTCCCTTATACCCTCTAAAAACCAATGGAAAAAATAACCTCGGGTGAGGATTCACAACAACAAAAAGGGCCATGAGACTCCCCGACCCGTCAATGTCCTCTGTGCCGTACGCCATGACGCATCGGAGTGTGGAGTCAGGACTAGTGTTTCTGGGATCAAAGAGTCTTCTAGCACCCCAAAATCAGAGCCCTGGCCCCAGACACCCCATCCCTGACCACAGAGCAATGACCTGGCCCCGGTGGGTAGCAGAAAACGGCCACCAACTCTTCTTCAGCTTGATTGTGCCTGTGAGCCATTTATTTATTTGACAAATGTGAATGTGTCATAGCTAATCACTTAGCAAATATTTATTGAACACTTTTTTTGCTGTTAATCTTCACCCGAGGATATTTTTTTTTTTGATTTTTTAGAGAGAGAGGAGGGAGGGAGGGAAGGGAAAGAGAGAGAGAAACATCGATGTGAGAGAGACATCTGTTGGTTGCCTCCTGCACAGGCCCTGGCCGGGGATCAAACCTGCAACCCAGGTATATGCCCTTGACCAGGAATCAAACTCTAGACTCTAGTGTGGGCCCGACACATTGAGCACTTACTGTCAGGCATTGTACAGGGGTTGGGAGATGCTGGTGAACGAGATAAATGCCCGTTTGAGAAGCTTAGTGACTAATGAGAGATAAGGGCTTGTAAACAGGAATTGAGAGGTGGTTCATGTTAAAACACAGTGATTGTGGGGTGATGACTTCATCCCTGAATGATAACCCTCTTAGAACACCCATCACAGGGGTTTTCTGCAGCAGTGACATCACCTACAGGGCAAACCGAAGTCAGCTGGGGCGGGAGGGGGGGGGGGGGGGGGGGGGCCGAAGGCACTTCAGGGAAAGAGGATGACAGGCAGGGGGTCTGTGCGGTGGGACGGGGCTGTCCATGGGCTGATGTTCGAGGACGGATGGGGCGCTGTGGGGAGGGGGGCAGAGATGGGTGGTGGAGAGGTTGGGGAGCATCTTACTCCATTCAGACTCCACGCCGGCGGCAACGAGAACTGAAGGTTTTTCGCAGGGTAGGTGGCGTGGTCTGGCTGGCCATTTAGGAAGCCCCTTTTCAATAGCAGTTTGGCGGGTGGACGCAGGAAGTTTGGGGAGGAGAGTCTGGCAAACACAGAGCTGAGGGGCCGGGAGCCATCGCAGGAGCGCAGGTGCAGGGGGGGCGTGTGCGCCCTCAGCAGCATGTGGACCCGCGGTCGCCAGCCTTTCGGACCTCACGGACCACCAGGGCCGCTGATCTAAACAAATGGGATACACGCACGCACGCACACACGCACACATGCGCACACACATGCGCGCGCACACACACACGCGTGCGCTCTCGGTTCTGCTTCGCAGAGCGATGTATTTTCATTGTGAAATGCTCAAACAGTACCTAGAGCAGTGGTTCTCAACCTTCCTGATGCCGCGACCCTTTAATACAGCTCCTCATGTTGTGGTGACCCCAATTTCATTGTGACAAATTGAACATAATGAAAGCATAGTGATTCATCACAAAAACAATATGTAATTATATATGTGTTTTCCGATGGTCTTAGGAGACCCCTGTGAAAGGGCTGTTCGACCCCCAAAGGGGTCGCAACCCACCGGTTGAGAACCACTGACCTAGAGAATGAAGCCACGTGTCCTCCAATTTTCTGTTACTTCCAGTTGTAGCTCAAATTTCCCCCCATGAATATAACACACACATGCTACCTGTGTGTGTGTGTGTGTGTGTGTGTGTGTGTGTGTGTGTTTGTAAACTTTCTGAACTAGTAGAAAGTGCAGTTTTGCAATTGTTTTCTTCAATTAATACTCTATTTTAGACATTTAAAAAATGCCAGCACAGAAAAGCCTACCTCGTTTCTGAATGGCTTTCTGAGATGTGGATATGCCTCACTTTCCCTCCGGCCCTCTGGGAGCGGACAGCTAGTTCCAGGTGTCACTCCTGTGAAGGGGCCGCAGGGAGCACCCTCACCCCTCCCTCCGTGCCCTAGTGAAGCAGCACCCAGAGAACCAGGTCCCGGAAGGGGAGCTGTAGGTGGGAGGGTGCGAGCATCTTGCATTGTAACGATATTCCCAGGCCGTCTTCCAGAAGCCTCTATTTCCCATCAGCCCACATTCTGGCCCTTCATGTGCTCTGTCTGGTCATCACTCCCGTGGGCCTGTCCCAACATAAGAGGGTGGTGGCTGGCAGGTGTCCCCTGACATGGTCCCCAGGCATTCCTCTCTGTCCACTCCCATTACTAAAGGCTGTGGCTCTCGCCGAGGTGCAAGGACAGCCGCAGGCTCTGACATCAGGCCTCTAGGACTTCCAAGGTGGAGGGTGTGTGGGGCACAGGGTATGCGGGACACAGGGCATGCAGGGCGGAGGGCAAGCCTGGCATAGATCAAGCGGCACCCGGCCTGAGCTGAATCACAGCACTCCTACTCACTAGCGATGGGGCTGAGACAAATCACCAGCTTGCCAAGCTTCCATCTCATTGTCTCTGAAGGAGATAATAGTAGAGTCTACTGCTCAGGGTCATTGTGGAGATGAGGTGAGGTGGTAGCTGAATCTGTGGCTGATGACGCCAGGATCTCCTTTTGCGTGGGTGTGTTCTGTCAGTTTCCGTCATGGGCTGGTATGTACTTGTGTGCCTAGTTATCTTTGACTGTGTGCTGGACATTGTATTTTAAAAATTATTTTTAAGAACCATTTGAGGCCCGGGATGCTAGAGGGTTTGCATGTGCTTGTGCTATATGCCTGCAGACACCACCCGTCGTGAAGACCTTGATCCAATTCAAGCCTGAGGCTCCCGGGACTTTCAGCTCGTTCCCCTAGACCAGCGGTTCTCAACCTGTGGGTCGAGACCCCTTTGGGGGTCGAACGACCCTTTCACAGGGGTCGCCTAAGACCATCAGAAAACACATATATAATTACATATTGTTTTTGTGATTAATCACCATGCTTTAATTATGTTCCATTTGTCACAATGAAATTGGGGGTCACCACAACATGAGGAACTGTATTAAAGGGTCACGGCATTAGGAAGGTTGAGAACCACTGCCCAAACCCATACGGCCAGTCAACGCGAAGCTCGGTCTTCCCACTCTTCCTGCAGGACGGAAAGATCCTGTGAGGGCAAAACGGTCAGCGAAACCTCCCTGGTCCTCCCCTTCTGCCTTCTGGCTGGTTGATGTTTGTAAGATTTTGAAGAACGTTGTTCCATTCAGCTCTTTTTTCCCAAGTTGGAAGGTGGGTCTTATTCGCCCAACCCCCCCCTGCAGGGAGCAGGCCGCGCTGAAGGCGCATTGTCTTTCTGTGGCTGTAGACTCTTAATGAGGTGGAACGGAGGCTTTCCGTGGCCTCTCAGCCACTAAGGGTCAGGACGTCCCCAGGACACCCTTCGCTTTCCCATTTTCCACAGTCGCTCCTGTGATCGCAGCCTTTCAACAGCCAAGCCAGATCACAGCCCTTCTCTGTCAGAGCCTCCAGGGGCTCCCGTCTCACTCACAACAAAAGCCCAGTCCTCACAGGCCCTTCCGGGCCCTGATGCCCTGTCACCTGCCTGACTTCTCTCCTCCCGCCGCTGTTGACCCTGCTCCAGCCACACTGGCCTCCTTGAGGTCCCTCAATAGGGTACCAACTCATCCTGGTTTTAAAACTGTAATTCCAGCCCTGGGCGGTGTGGCTTAACAATTAGACCGCTGGCCCGTGCACTGAAGGGTCGAGGTTTCATTCCCAATCGAGAGCACACACCTGGGTTGCAGGTTCAATCCCTGGCCCTGGTCGGGGCACATGGGGGAGGCAATCAATCAATGTGTCTCTCACATCGATGTTTCTCTCTTTCCCTCTCTTCCACCCTCCCTTTCAGTCTGTCTGGAAATTAGTGGAAAAAATATTCTCGGTGAGGATTAGCAAACAAGCAAATAAAGACAAAACTGACACCCCAGTGTCCTGGGAGGCCTCTGGGTCTGGGGCAAAGGGGAACAGCTGTCACTTCACCTCGAACACAGGCTGGGCCTCAGGGCCCCAGGGCCTTTGCACTTGCTGCCTGAGATGCTGTTCTTCCCAGACAACTGCCCCACCTCACATCATTCCTGCCTCTGCTCATCATCTTCCTCACGGACCATCCAAAACAATTGCACGTGCAGACGCAGACACACACAGAGTCACTCTCTGCCTTCACCCGCTTCATTTTTCTTGAGATACAAATGAACAGGACGCAGTTAGCACCTGTCTGGGACCGGAGGACCCACCTTCGCTACAGCACCCTGACAGGCTGAGACCCAGCAGCCGCCCTGCCCGGGAGCCGCCTCCCTCGGCTGGGCCGC